AAAAATCTCCACTCTATTCTAACACTCCATGATAGGTAGCACACTATGCTAATTAGAGCCCTGTTGGTGGTTTGAATTCTTGTTTTAATAAGTAACATTTGTATGACATTGGTCACATATGAGTTACTTGTTCCTCAGGATCCTAGCCTATAAAATCAGGATAATAGCAACATCCATCTTCACTTGTAAAGTACCTACTACAATGCTTAGATCTTATCAAGAGTTAAGGCTGAAATTATAATCAGTATTAACTATCATTAGCAACTCTGATTATTACAACCACTACCACCATCAAACATTTATATACTGTCACACTCTGAATCAGAGATTCAAATTTCAATATACTATTGTTATTTTTTGCTCTCATTTGTATAGTTGTCTTCTTTAGGAACTCGGTTAATTTTCTTTCTTTTTCTATTTTTGCCAGTCCTGGGGCTTGAACTCAGGGCCTTGGCACTGTCCCTGAGCTTCTTCTGCTCGAGGTCAGCATTCTACTACTTGAGCCACAGTGCCACTTCTGGCTTTTTCTGTTTATGTGGTACTGAGGAATGCTAGGCAAGCACTGTACCACTAAACCACATTCCCAGCCCTTGGTTTGTTAGCTTTTCTGGTGACTGTGATTAAACACAGAATTCTGAAAAGAATTGTTCTATATTTTCATGTCATTCAAAATTTGCAGCCTTATAACACATTATTAAAACTTTTATCCTGCCATAAATTATATTAAGTGAAGTAAGCCAGGCCCAAAGAAACATAGGTCTCATGGTTTCCCTTATTTGCAATAACTAGTATATGTCTGAGAAAAGGTCAGTTAAGTTGATGTTAAGGAAATTAACCCTAAGATATGTATTCAAATGTTTTTTTTTCTTTCATGCGATTGTTTCTAACACATTTATAAGATTATTTCTTTGTTGCTTTGTATGTCCCTCCCCCATGGTATAACCCCTGCTTTCATTGTATTTGATGTTAAAATTTGGGGAGGGGAAGGGAAAAAACAAATCGTTTAAATAGGGATACAGGTGGAACCATTGCAACAATGAGATGTACAAGTCGTTATGTCAAAAACGAACTTTACAACTTTGGTGGGGGTGGGGGAGGGTTGGATAGAGGTGTGGGGGGAGGATGGGATGGGAAGGGGAAACAAAGGAGGAGGCTACAAAATGCTTGATAAGAAATGTACTCATTATCTTCCCCATGTAATTGTAACCCCTCTGTAGAGTATTTTCATAATTAAAAATAAAAAACTTTTATCCTGCCATGATTCATACTGAACTTCTTTTTCTTTGAACATGTCAGTTCCTTCAATAATGCCATGCTCTCCTTTCTTTTGTGCACTTTCTCTCTTTTCCTTTTCTCCTTCCCTCCCTCCCTTCTTCCCTCTTTGTTTCTCTCAAGTGCATGCGTCCGCACACATGCGTGCGCGCACACACACACCACACATACACACACATGCACATGCACATGCGCACACACACACAAGCACAGACTCTTCTCCTTGAAATGACTTCTCTTTTCACTATCTCATTTTTCCTTCAAGATGCAGTTTGGAAAGTTAGTTTTCTGCATTAGTATATGTCAAACTGTGGTCTACAGACATATATTGGTCCAGAGATCATTTTCACTGATCTACAGCTTCATTCTGAAATTAAGGTCTTTATTGTTTGTACATACTTTGTGTGTGTGAGTGTGTGTGTGTATGTGTGTGTAAGTTTAACTATCATTTCATTTAATGAACAAAACAATATGTGGCTTTTCTTGTTTTATTTTAATCCAATTTGGCTAAGCCAAATATTGGCAGCCTGATGGTGATCCTCAAGTATATATATATGGGCAGAAGATTGAACTCAGTGCCTTACACATGCTAGGTAAGGACTCTCTTACTGAATACCTAGACTCCTTGAATTTTTCTTAACTTGACCTGCCTGGGAAATAGAAGTGCTTCACCAGACATTTTTCCCAAATAAGGGAGGCCAAAATTTCCTGTCCCCCACTGTTAATTTAAGCCCACAGTGAGATTACCACCAAGTATTATACCTTTACATGTAAGTTTGCTTGTAAAACCTGAGCTCCTTAAGATAGTCTGTGTGATCCCAGAAGACAGGCAAATGTTTAGCATTACATGTTGCATTACAGTTCATCCCTTTTCACATGTATTTTCAATTATATATATATATATGTAAGTATTTTTCAATTCAACATCTTTTCACATGTAAATGTTTTTCTTCACAATGATCTGATGATGAAGCTAAATTCAAGACTCACATAAAATCAAAGTTGGCCTGGACTGAAAACATTAACCTGTGTTTTTAGGTTTGACAATATCTATTTTATACACATGTTCTCACTAAGAGTAAGCTAACAATATTTTATCTAATCAAAGCACAATTATTACTTCCAATTTGCTAGTGAGGAAACTGATCCAGAGAAACACATGAGTACTTAAATACTACCAGCTAACATTAGACAAACACAGCATATAATCCATATAATCTGGGAGTCTGTATAGGTGTGAGCTAAGTGAACTTATGGAAACTATCTTTACTGTCTGTCCACTTCATTTTTCTGTAAGCCTAAAAACTGTTAGAACAAAGTTCTAAAAAACACTTGTGCATGTCCAAGCCACATGCTATTTTATAATGTTTCTTTTCCTATGCAGCTTTTGCTTTCTTGGAGTTGATCACTCTTGGTTTTTTTCATAGTTTTTCCATATCCTTATATTATTTTCTTCAAAAGTCCCTGTTAGTACTGTAAAATCATCATTAGTTTTATCTCTATGTTCAAACACATCATACTCTGTCAGATATATGCTTTTCTTGGAGACTCTTTTTGTCTGCTCAACTGTATACTGAGCCTGCTCTCTGCAAAAGCTCCCCATGTCATTGATCACATTCCATGTGTATATACATGAATATATACATATATTATTCATAGATATACATATATATGAACATATATACATATATATTCATATATACATATATTCCATTTGATTTTCTTTTGATTTCCTTTAATTTTCTTGGATCCCATTTAGTTCATTTTTCTAATCTACTCTTTTGTTGCATTGGAGAATATCTTCCAGATCTTTTCTGAGAAAGGACATAACATGTTTTTTTAGGTCTTGCATCTTCAGTCTGCATTGGCAGAATTCTAGGTTGAAAATAATTTTTTCACAGATTTTGAAGGTACAATTTCACCTCATGTTGCCGTTATGAACTGATATTATTCTTCTTCTCTCATTCCTACCCCTCTGTATATGAATTATGTTTTTTTTAATTTGGATGCTTTAAGGATTTTCTTTTTAGCCTTCCATTTCTGAAATTTCATGATGATGAGACTTTTGTATTAATTGTTCTTGGATGTGATAAGCTATGTCAATTTGAAAGTATCTCTACACCAGTTTTGAAAAATCTAATATTCTTTTTGTTTTTTCTAGTCTCTAATTTTGGAATCCTGTATTACTCTAACGGTGGACTTGGGAGACTAATTTTACTATTACATCTCTACCATAGGATCAGCCTTTAAGGCATCTTTATTTTACTTTTTGTTTTATATCTATGCAGGAAAAAAGTATCATCTAGAGCCTAACAATATCTCTATGTCTTCTGAAACAAAATATCCAACATTCAGTGAGAACTTTGGCACACCAAGAGACAAGATGAAAAATAGACAATAAAAGTCCAGAGATTAAGCTACTGAAATGATGAATTATAAGCTATAACATTGATTAATATAACAGAGAAATTTGATAACAAGATGGAGAATTTCATCTTAGAAATAGACACTATATAAAATAAAATTTGGAAATCAAAAAAATGTTGCAACTATAGAATAATAGCATATATAATCATTTAGTTCCTAGATGCTCCAAAAATTCCTACACAGATGCCCCCACAAAAATGTACAGAAATCTTTCTAGTAGAATTATTCATAGCAGCCTAAATAGATCTGTTCAAAATTAAATTGGTTCATACAATTGTATGTACTTGTTATGTATATCAACACAGATGAATATCATAAGCAATTGTTTTAGGAAATAATGTATATATAAAAGAAATTCTCTGGTTCAGTTTCTCCAGAGAATAAATTTTCTGCTGTCTAGTTATACAGAGTTATAGATGATACCTGGAATCCTGTAAGTAAACTAAGCTGAATTTTAACCTTTTCCCCTGATTTTGGCCATGCTCCTTACCATATTGGGGCTGCAAACTTATGAACTCCTTGGCCTGAAGGGTTTGGCTTTCTTTGCTTCACTCCTCAAGCTTATGAAATTTATCATTATCTTCTATAGTCTATCCTGATTTTTTATTCCTGTCTTATAACTTTAGTGTGATTAGGGAAGGATCAGAGATTAAAATGTTTATGGAACTTGCTATATTTGATCTACTTTTTCTTTATATTTATGCTGATTAGGTTATGAAATCCTCCTGTGAACTGATGTAAACTGTAGATATTTCTGCATATTTTGAAGATTTTTAGAAACTGAATTTTCTTTTTTGAATGATATTTTTCACTTTTACTACTATCTTGGAATCCTTCTATGGTAGTATTTGACTCCATGGACTAATTTTTTAATATTGTTAACATTTACATCATATTTATCTTTTATGCTTATGCTTATTAACCATGTTTTTGGTTCCATGTCTGTGGAGGAATAAAAACCATGCAGAGCCTCAAAATATGCCTATAGTTTCTGATACTCATTGTCTAACATTCACTCAAACTTAGGTATAGACCACGTACTCGTGGCACATGCCTATAATCTGAGCTAGTAAGAAGGCTGAGAAATGAAGGATTGGGATTCAAGGCCAGCTCAGGCAGTAAAATTTGTGAGCTTCTCTTTACCAGCATCCCTAGCAGATCAGGCATAGTCATATCAGACTTCACTCAGAAGCACGAAGACATAAAAATCAAATTGCTTTCATGCTCCTATACTATCTCAAAAGCATAGCTAATGTTAAAAACATATAAGAGAATTTAAAAATCTTGACCACAAAACATACCATCTTTATCAGCAGTGTCTTGAGGCTTTGATTTTAAGGTGAAGATCTTCCGTAGCTTACAGTTTGCTGAGACAATAATCCCATCCAATGACTGGAAAACTGCTCCCTTGAATATCTCACTGGTGAATGCAACTAAGTCAATACACAGATTGCACCACTGAGAGAGAGAAGCAAAAAGAGTATGTAGCTACCTTTCATCATCACATAAATGAACATCACAATATGCAAAAAAAATCCAGAAATGAGGCAATTATCTAGATTAACCAGCCCCAAACTAATTTTCCTCTATTTTTGGCTTAAACTATCTTAAAAATTGCTCTGATTTTTTTCCCGCGGAAAATCCTCACAATCTAAACTATTTATTGACCATCTGACTGCAGAGTTCTTTGAGACATGGCTAAGACAGCTTTGGGAAATAATTCTCTATTTGTAGACATTATGCTGGTTGGAAGCTAATTGCAGGTGCTTTAGATCAGTTAAGTCGTGAAAGTCAGGTATAAGTAGCCAATTGTTCCTTTGAGGGGACTAATTTAATCACAATTAGCCACTTAGGGTTGTACTAAAAAAAAAAGGTATGGATGAAATTAGAGGCTGGGTTTAAATGGTAGCCAATGCTGTCTACTTAAAACTAATTAACCTACTATACAGAAATAGATTGTTCTAAAGAATTTATAATTATGCCTTGTATTTGCCAGTTTTAAAGTGTTCTTTCAGTGACTAATTTCTGCCCATTAAACAATTAGATTCCCTAATTCTTCATCAAATGAATCTCTAAATGACTTGAGTTAAAAGAAAATACTCCTGTGGTGGGAAATGAATACACATTTAACCCTGTAGGACAAAAGTAGGATAATAATTTTTAAAATTAAAACAAAATATTAAAATTCATATTTCTCTTAAATATCAGGCTCTCCCATTATTTGTTTAGAAGGTCACATACAGTCCATTATGTAATTTTTTTTAAAAAAGAAAATCTTTTCTATGAAGCAATGTTGATTTTAATACAGAGATGAGTCTGAGGTTGTTTCCACAGCAGCAAAGTAGAATAGTTTATAGTATACTACTGACTAAATCGCTTATATTTTGAGAACGTTTCAACAGTAAAATTATATTCCCAGGCCACAAGAATACCAATGGTCTTTTTGGGAGTAAAGATCTTGGGGTAAGCAAAGGCCGAAAGCAGGACTGAGTATAATATAGTCATCAGGAGAATGATGGGGGTGAGGAGTGACACATGTTCTGTAAGACAGGCCAGTGGTTCAAGTTTGGAAGAAATGGAAGATCAGGAAGAGAACATGGTATTCCATAGGGCAGGTGTCTCCACTGTTCTTGGAAGAAGAATATGCAAAGGCAGAGCACTCAGAAGTTTGATTAAGCTTGGTACAGGAATGTTCTTGAGTGGCAGAGGTCTGTGAGGGATAGAGTACAGCTGAAGAATAAAGAACTCTGAGATATAGAAAGATTGAATATCTTCAGCCTTCTAAGCCACCAAGTGAGAAGAGCTGGCTAAAAATGAATATGAAAATGATATATAAGGAACAAATGTCATAGGGTGGAATGTCATGGCTTGGTGAAATCAGATTATAGGGTATGGAGGTATTGGGTTTTTGTCCAATAATGAAATAATATTATGTTAGCATTATTGTTGGTTTATAAGTCTAGTTTCTCTCCCTAAAAGACTGACATCATCCCAATTACTCCCTTAGCTTTTTCCAACAGCAATTCCTTTGTTCTTCACCCTCATACACTAAGTACTTATCAATGTTGGAGGGTGGCAGATATTGTTATCTACTTATACTGTTAATCAAAGGAGGCTCTATATTTTTTTCTCCCAATGTTCCTGCCTTTTGATACTCAATAATAATTTCAGTAAGTATGTAATAAGTGTGTACATAGTGTGTAATTTCAATAGTTTCTATATTCCTAACTTCACTTTTATAAGTATTCCTTTTATAAGTATCCAGTGAGATTTTCATTTCATATATTGCTTTTACTAGTTCTAGAATGTTGATTTCATAGTTTTTTTCATATTTTTTTATTGAGGTTTTCCATTCATATTTTCCTTTAAATTCTTGAATATATTTATAATAGGTGTTTTTAATCCTATGCTGCTTCTTCTTATTGTGCCTGGGTCTGTTCCTTTTTCTCATGGCTAGCAAGGTATGTTTTCTTTTCTTTCTCTTTTTGGTAGTAGTGGGGTTTGAACTCAGTGCCTACACTTGGTAGGCAGTTGTCCTACCATTTAAGCCACATTCCCAACCTTTGCATCAATTAGTTTTCAGACAGGGTCGCAAGTTTTTGCCAAGGGCTAATCCCACAATGAAATCCTCTTACCTTCTACTTTGTGCAGATGGGTTAATAGGTATATACTACCATACTCAGCTCATTGGTTTAACTCTTTGTTTAAGCTTACCTTAAACTTCAAAGCCATGTTTTCTCACTTTGTATAATGTAAGATGAACACTGTGCTATATTGTTGAGCTTTGGATGCTGGAGTTTGAAATCAGGGCCTTGTATTTGCTATTGCTGGGCAGACACTCTACTACTTGAGGTCTACTGTCAGCCATTTGGTTCTAGATACTCTTGGGATAGTTTTACATTTATGCCTGGGTTGGCCTGGACCATGATCCAACTTTCGCTTTCTTTGTAAATAGGGTGATAGGCATAAGCCACCACATCCAGACACTGGCTAAGATGGATTCTTCCTAACTCCCCCCTCTACCACACATTGGCTTCAAAATGCAACTTTCCTCATCTCTGTCTCACAAGTAGCTGAGATTACAGGTGTGAGCCATCATACACATCAGTTTTCTTTTTAAAAATCTTAAATGTTCTTCCATCAGGAAAATAAGTTATTTGCAGTGATTTCCAACCTAATTATCTAAGTCCAGCATATTCCTTTAGTAGCAATGGTGTTTACCACTGCCCACTACCAGTACTATTTTACATATTTGCCTTTTCTCTAACATTATAATCTCCTTGAGGAGGAAGACTCTGTATCGTTTAGATCCAAATATATTTGGCCCATAGTAGGAACTTAATAAAGACTTACTAATTGAAATTGACACAGATGTTTATTTTGACATCATATTAACAGTTAATGGACTCATGTCTACAGAAAATGGTAAGATAGTAACTATGTTACCAACATTAACTGAGCACTTACTACGAGCTTATATTACTCTGTGTTATACTGTTCTCAATGAATCTCAACAGTACACTATTAAAGTCTGTTCTTCCACGGACACTGTCTAAGAGAAAACTGAAGCACGGAGACATTAATTTACTTGGCCAAGGGACTATAGTCAAGAAGCAACAGAACTAAAAACTGAAAATGTATATTTAGCTCTGGAGGCCACACTTCAAACCCAACAGTATCCTGCTTGGGCATATGATTTAAAAATGGGCTGATCCTAAAGTTGGCTAAACAGCCTCTTTTTCAAACAAACTTCTTTCAAACTAGTTATGTCTTTGTAAGCATTCAAAATGAATAGAAGAAGACAAAAGACAATTCTTTCTTCCTCATATCTTCAATACCCATACTAGATAGACAGATAAATAAGAAAAAAATCTGATTTTTAAAAATGACATTCACATAGATGAGATGGAACATTCATAGACCCTCAAATATTATAATGAATTGTAGGCTAGAAAGTTCTATTAAGAGACATTCTATGATTGTAGCTTATGTGTAGCTCTAAATGACCTCACATTTGATAAGCCTGCCTCCTTCATTCTCTTCTTGTTCAGTGATACTGAAGAAATTAAATACTGTTAAAATCTCAAATTTCCAATCATTGGCCATACAGATAACATGATCTTTGATAAGAAGATTCTAGGTTGTAATAAGAACTATAACATACACTATCAGTTATAGCTTAAAAAAGCAACTGCTAAAGATTATTTTATCCATTTAAATGAATAGAAATGTTACTAAAAATATGTCATTGTAATTTACCATATGACATTATCATATCTCTAATGAATAATTTACTCTAAATGACATCTTGTAATTGAATTTCTTATTCAAATAAAATTAAATTTATTGCATATTAATCTATACTTTGGTAGAAGGCAGTGATGTTTACCTGACGCAATCAGTTTTATTTAAGTAGTAAATTGATTTCAGTGAGGTCTAAGTGTACTTGTTTTGTTTAATTGATGGCTATTAATTAAAAACTTTTTGTACCACTAAAAAAAGTTAAATGTATAAATTTTTATAGTTGTAATGCTAAGGTAACTCTTCATAATTAAAATAATATAAAAATAATTTTGAAAGGTTAATATTTAAGGATAATTGAAACAGAAAGTAGCTAATATAAATATTCATATTGGCATGGTTGTAAGAATATTAACTTGTTCACTGTCTAAAATACTTAGATAAAGAACCAAGGAAAGAGAACCTCTTTTCAGATATTTTCTACAATTGATCTAAGGCCAAGAAGCTATGGCAGATATCTTCTAAATCTGGGGTTGCAAACTAAACACTTAGAGAAGCTATGCAGACAAATTAACTGAGTGAAGCAGGAAGGTCTGGGTCACCTATATAACTTAGAGGAGTGGAGAGGATTCAAGTTCACAGAGAATGTTCAGCTCCCTTAAAAGTGTGCAGTTACCACTCTGCTCAAGCCAACTTCTTGCTGAGCTAGAAAACGGGCTCCTTATAAATCTGAGGTTTTTCAAAACAAGTCAGAAATCAGGAATATTCTGTGATCTTCTGATTTATAAATGTCAGCCATAGTGTTTTTAGAATGTTGCCTTGAGGTTTACTACTAAAATAACCACTGGTTTCTGAAGGACAGGAAAAATTGAATACACTGAGAAAAGCAGGAAACTAGTTCCAATGATCACAGTGACACCTATGATCACCTATGGCACCTGAATGAAGGAGGGGTTGGATCCCTGTGCTGATCTTTGTAGAAATTGCTTCAAAAATATCACTCAGCTTTAATTTAGTAGGGCTCACTACGGATAAAGTATATCCATAGTGGAAAGGAAGGACCCTTTGTTACCATGTGTACTTGTTAGCTTGGGAGGAAACTAAAGAAAATGAGAGCAAGATCTTCCTAATATATATTTGAAAACTCCTGAACATTTGTGGAATTACCAAGCATATTTAAGAAGCTTATATAATTTGGCTATGAAAACTATTCATTTTATCTCCTATGTTACAATGCATGTGAAGACCTGTAAGCATATTCTACATTTATATTCTATATATTCTACATTTACTTCCTATGTGCCACCTACTGATAAGAACTGGGGACCAAAGCACAATATTACAAGTTTGTAATCTAATGAGAGAGACAGGCAACTACATAAGTGACAAAGTATATGGTGGAGAAGTATTATAAGAATTGTAATATTGTGAATGACAATGACAAGCTGTTCCCCAAATAACTAATCTGCAGAAAGTATTGTCATATAGGCTTTCCTAGAGTAAGCAACATCTTAAGAGCAAAGGGCAGTTATAGTCCTAACCTAGTACTTACTCTATGGCAGAAGAGTCTTATATTTATTAAGTCAGGTATCACCTTCCCCTAGAAACCTTCATGGGGATACACTTCGCTATCTGCACTTCATAGATGAGGAATTACTACAGAGGAATTATTACATAGGAATTATTACAGAAGAATGTGCCAGAACTCTGATTCTACATTCTCAACCATGTCAAATAATTCACATGTTATATATTTAACAAAACTGAATTTCAGAGCTAGACTCTTTGTTGTTACTTTTATAGTATGTATCATATATATGTACAGTTTTATTTATAATTGTTTGTATATTTGTGACATTGCTTCGTATTCATTCCTCTGCCACTACCACTTATTCTTCATTAATGCAATCTGGAAAATGGTCTCCTCACCTTCATTTTCTATACTTTCAAATCATTATAGATTATCATTAACAAAATAATCTACCCAAGGTACAGAACCAACTGTGTGTTCCTTCCTGAATTCAAAAGCTTTCAGTGGCTCTTCTTCTCCATCACAGTGGTTCCCAAAGAGTGGAACGCACAGCATTTGTCAAATGACTGGATGATACATATGAGTAGTGTTATATAACTCTGGATCACAGAATACAAATTTCCCTTTATCAGTTTTCTTTCAATCCTTCTAACTGTGCCAGGGCAAAATTGTCAAATTTATCCAATTTTTGATGAACTCTTTTTAAGTGAGAAAGCAAGTGACAGGACAGGGCCTTTAAAAGGGTACCAGGTGTAGCGACATATTACAATGCTGTTGTGTTGTGCTGGGGATAGAATCTAGAGTCTTGCACATACTAGGTGAGTACTCTACCACTCCTCCAGCCTCACTCTGTTGTTTTTAGTATATTGATATTTAATTTTGGAAAGTCATATTGATTTTCCATTTACAAAAGTGATATAGAGATTTCTTTAAAATTAAATTTAAGCGATTTAAATTTGCTATCTTTGTTTTCTTTTTTGTCATTTATTCATTTATATGTCTTTGGGAGGATAAGAGGGGAGCACAGAAATAGAAGGACAAAGGATGAATAAATGCAGCAATGGTACTCACTGGACACTATGTTGAAAATCAACTTGCTGAAAATACAACTTGTGGGTTAGATGGGAGAGAAAAACTGGAAGAGAGTGAGGGAAAGGGAACATTGTCCAAAAGGAAATGTACTCTTTGCCTGACTTATGCAACTGTAACCCCTCTGTTTTTTTTTATTTTTTTAGCATTTTTAAATAAAAATAATAAAAACAATAAAAGTCATTCTTCAATAAAAAGTAAATGTAAACAAGAAAATGAGTCACTTTACAGGAAAGAATTAAGTATATATTCGAAGGGATGGAATAGAAATACAGTATTGAGAAAAATTCCAAATCAAAATCAAAATAAAGTAAGAAAGGCTGTCAGTTGACCCAGGCCCTTTACAGGTTACACAAGGAGCCCAAAATCTCCAATCTATATCGAGTTTTTGTATTGTAGAACTGGTATTTAAAAAATCTAGTAACAATGTTTTTCATTCTCTATTCTGCATTCTCCACACTTCACTTTCTTGCTCAGTTTCCCATTTCCTCCTGTGAAATCCCATAGACCTCTCCTGTCGACAGGAAGTATTAACTCTCCTGGCAGTTCAATGGGTTTCTCTGCCTTTCAAATTCCCAGTAGTACCTTCCCTCTGCACTGTGCTTTTCTATAGTGCCATTATAACACTTCTCACCTTACAGTTTTCAAGGGAGAGGAAGGAAGGGCAATGTGCCTCACTCATAAAGTAGGCCCACATTATTAATACTTACTGAATTGAATTTAACAATTTAGGCAACATTCTGTGATACTTACAATTTTGCGCTTGATCATGAAGAGTGGGATTTTTGCATGAAGAGGGGTTGAAGACAGTTCCTTATGGACTGTTGATAAATACAATCTTCTTTTGATGTTTCTTAAATCAGTAATTCTGACAAAAAAAAAGAGAACAGAAAACATTCCTATCAATTTAATTACTACTTCTTTGGATAATCATCAAAATGCTTATACATACGAACCCTGTCCAACAGGGAGTTTGAACACAGAATTTTTAAGAATTGCCATTTTCTTTGAAGAAGTAATAAAATTTCTTCCTTAAATGCAAAGTGCTCACAAGGCAGAATGTATAAATTTACTTAATATGCTAATTTATTTCTGTACTCTACACTAGATTTCCATAGTACTCCAGACGATGAGAAAAATTCAATTTGTATGAACTGAGAAACGGCTAGCTTTTAATAACCAGGCTCGTTCCAGCCCCTTAAGCATGTGTTATCTTGGGACATACCGTCACCTACTAAATAGGAAAACATTATGGGTTTCTTTCCCTAAAAATGCACCTGTCATTTTATATAGGCTCTTAGTCTGCTTAGAGACAGGCACAAAACACTGACTGTCGGTTTCACTTCCTAAGCACATATCTTCCAACTAGAATTATAATACACAAGTTTATTGCTCACTATTCAGGTCAACCTACAGTGATACCAAGGACACTGAATTTGAACATCTTTAATAGATTTAGACCACAACCATGATCACAAAGATTAGGTTTGCTTCAAACTGATAGAGGCTCATTTTTATATTCTGCTTCTTTTAGGTCTCAGAGGTAACACAGCAAGCTGAAAATCTCCAAATCTGTCTCAGGCTGCCATAGTACAGAATTAATGCTTCCTGAAAAACTCTTTTTCTCTGAGAATAAGTAGCATTTTTGTCCTCATGTTTAGACTGTCTCGATGTACTACAGTGCTAATTTTCTATAATTAACAATGCCCTAAGGAGTCATTTAATTAAGATTCACTGTCAATATTTATAGTATAATCGACTATTTAAAAAATCAACATAGCCCATTCTGTAGCCCTTCCAGGCCTCCTCCTCCTCCTCCCCACTTCTATTCTCATTATTTCCTACATATCTTGTCATGGAAAAACAATCATCAAACAATGTTAAGAATAAATACAGTAAAAAATTTGGTGAGATGCCATAGCTAAGATATGAACCAACACAGATGCCCCTCAATAGATGAATGGATCAAGAAAATGTGGTGTGTGTGTATATGTCATTACATATATATCTATATAATGGCATTCTATGCCTCCATCAGAAATACTTCCCCATTTGTTAAGGAATGGAAAGACTTGGAAAAAATTATATTAAGTAAAGTAAGCCAGGCCCAAAGAAACATAGGTCCCATGGTTTCCTTTATCTGCAATAACTAGTATATGTCTAGAACAAGCAGAAAAGATAAAAAGCTATGTACATATGACCATATAAGATGATGCTAAGCTAAATGCACCCCAAGATAGGGACAAAAGTGGTTTTATCTTTGTTGCTGTTGTTTTTAATGTATTTATATTGTACCATATGATTTTTTTTAATTTCTCTTGTATGTTCTCCCCCCATGGTATAACCCTTGCTTTCACTATATTTGATTCCGGTGCCCTACACCTTATATATACATTTTTCTAATTTGGGGAGGGGAAGGGAAATACCAAAAAGCTGAAATGAGGATACAGGATAACCCATTGTAACAATGAGATGTGCAAGACACTATTTTGAAAATGAACTTTACAACTTGGGAGGGGGGGGATGAGTTGGGAAGGTGGGGAGGAAAGGGGGGTTAGGGGAAAACAAAGGAGGGGTAACAATGCTCTATAGGAAATGTGCTCATTACCTTATTTAGGTAACTGTAACCCCTCTCTCTGTAAAGTATCTTTACAATAAAAAATATAAAAAAATTTGGTGAGATGATTTCAGGATATACTGAAACCTAAAAAATTATCCCCCTCTACATTAATTACCATAAATTCACTTAAAAGCAAGAAACCCTTTCAACATATTATCATAACTAAGGCTTAAAACACTAAAGTATCAACACTATGGTAGTATTATGTTTTGATGTATAAGTAAATGCAATATTTCACTTCAACATATGTACATGTGCTAGGTGTGCGGGTATAATGAGTATGTACAATGTGCTATGTGTGCACAGACATTTTACTAATGGGGTGTAGTATCAAACATATGTAGAAAGTAGGGGTGCTATTACATATTGTTTATAGAAAGTACTAATTAAGGAGAAGAGCAGGAAATGGTGCTACAAGCCCATAATCCTTGCTACCTGAGTGGCAGAGATTGAGGCACAAGGCTAGTCCAGGCAAAAAAAATGTGAGACTGCATCTTAGCCAACAACTGGTGTGATAGCCTTAGCCTGTCATCTCAGATACAAGGGAAGCACAACACCTAGACATTATGACATATGCCTGTCATTCCAGCCATCCAAGAAAAGACAAATATGAGGCATAGGCAGAGGTTTAGGCATAAAACAAGACTATAACTAAAAAAAATAACTAACACATGAAGGTTCATGAAGTATAGTGTTTATCTGGCTGTGAGGCCCTGAATTCAATCCCCAGTACTGAAAAAAAAAAGTTCTGATTAGGGCATGGAAATTAAGCACAAAGAGGGAGGGTTTAAGCCAAGAGTTATCTGTGACCTGATGTTGTTATCAAAAGTTTTCTGTTTGTAAGGATGAAACTAAATAATTTTTATTTAAATTATTAAAGATCAAACTCCAACCAGAATAATATTTAAATATATTGTCACATATTGGCCAATGTGAACATTCATTTATTCATTCACATTCAAACTGAGCTATGAAGCATTTCTTGGAATATACCAGTGATATAATGATATAGATATAATCTGAGTATTTATTCTAGAGGAAAAAAAGCAGGTGAAAAACTACAAAAAGAAAAAGATTCAACCTGCCAGGCACTGGTGGCTTACACCTGTAATCCTAGCTACTCAGGAGGCTGAGATCTGAGGATCATGGTTCAAAGCCAGCCCAGCAGGAACGCCCATGAGACTGTTCTCGCCAATTAACCACCAGAAAACTGGAAGTGGTGCTGTGGCTCAAGTGATAGAGCGCTTGCTTTGAGCTGAAGAGCGCCTAGGCCTAATTCAAGCCCCAAAACCACCACCACCAACAACAAAAAGATTAAACTAGAAGATACCAAAAATGATCTGCTTTAGACAGTATTGATGGTAAGATTTGTAGTAGATAAGGAACATGACAGAGAGATGCAGAGAAGCTAAATGTTAGAAGTTTTATACTAAGGTAAGAAGTTTATAAATTTATTGTCCAGTGTTGGAAGCTAGTACAGGGCCCACATTCTTCCTTTCATGATTAAGATATATTTATAAAAATAAATAAGGTCTTGCTTCATCACTAGAATAAAATTTGTACAAATTTAGTGTTCATTTTAAGACTGATAATATGTAATATGTATATAATTCATTACATACTTTATATACTGGAACTCTAGGGTAAACCCAGGGCCTTGTGAATGCTAAGTAGGTACTGTGTTGTGCCAAACCTCCAGCCTCTTCTATTCTCTATTTTCTTAACAGTATTGTCCTAGTGCTTGAACTCAGAGCCTGCATATTGTCCCAGGGCTTTTTTGCTCAAGGCTGGTGGTGCTCTACCACTTGGAAAACAGCTCCACTTTCAGCTTTTTGGGGATTAATTGGAGATAAGTCTCACTGACTTTTCCTGCCCAGGCTGTCTTCCAACTACAATCTTCAGATCTCAGATTACAGGCATGAGCCTCGGGTTCCCAGCTTTAACTTTTAATTTGAAACTAATTTCCAACTAAAAGAAAGTTATCAAGCACTATACATAAAAGAATTGTATGCATTTTATATTCACTTATGGGGATGCTTTTTGATTAGCAGAAGTTTTCATTTTCATGAAATCAGTTTGTCATTATTTATACTTGTGCTTTATATATCCTTAAAAAAATTCCTTGCCTAGCACAAAGTTGCAAATACAGTATATTTCCTCCTAGACCTTTATAGTCTTTGTTTTTTCATTCAGTCTATGAGAAACCTCAAATCAGTTCCTCTTTGTTGTATGAGACAATGGAGGGGAAGTTATTTTCTTTTTGTAGTTTATTCAATCATTCCAGCACCACTTATTAAGCTCATTTTCCCTTATTGAAATTGCTTATTACTTTGTTGAAAATTATTTATTATCTTGTATTAGTTCATTTTCTGTTAATATAAGGAAACACATGAGACTTATTTATGGAGACTCAAGGGCATGGTACTAGCATCACAATCTGAAAAGATGATGTCGGAGAAAGACATTAATTTCTAGAGAGGGAGCTAGAGGACAATGCAGGAATTGGGCTCACTCTTATAACAACTTACTCTTGCAAGAACTAACAGTCTCACAATATTTACCTTAATCCTTTCTGAAGGTAGCATCTCAATACTCTAAGGACTCCCAACTAGGTGCCAGCACTTAAAGGTCCATGCAATGTCCCAAATCACCACCATATCAAGTAGATGAAGGTACTAACAAACTAAGTTCTAATGATAGCAACTATAAATGTGTGTGCATATATCTGTAAATTTATATAGCCACTATATATGTATATACATATTTGTGTGAAAGAGATCCTCACACACACTATGTATATATATAAACGCAAACATACATGTTTGTTTGAGGATCTATTTCTGGATTTCCTCTTGATACATTTCTTAGTGACTCATTTATTCTTTCTTATACCAATTATATACTATTTTGATAGGTAAAGAAACTTCAACTTTATTTTGTTCAAGATTTGTTTAGACTTTACTTTTCTATATAGATTTTAGAATCCATTTACCATTTCCTATTAAAAAGTTTTTGAGAGTTTATTGGCTATGCTAAATTGAATCTAAAGATCAATTTTAGGAGAACACTATTGAACCTTCAAATCCACTAACATGATATGTATCTCCATTTATTTAGGCCTTATCTAATTTCTCTAAAACTGTTATAGTTTGCATGCTTGAAGTCTTATACATCTTTTGTTAAATTATTTCTAAGTATTTTGTTTTACTACATAATTGAAAATGAATTTTCTAACTCAATTTCTGGGA